TTTTAAAACCCATTTTAAAGTCAAAATTATCAGCCCCTTTAAGGTATTTTTTATTAGTCTACAGAACAAACAATCATTATTCAATACCTTGCCTAATTACCCTAACCTGCCTAGTTAAACTAATTAACCTAGATCTTTAAATGTCACTGTAAGTTCTATAGAAGTGTCTTGAAAAATATCTAGTCAAATATTAATTATTTACTGTCATTATGGCAAATATAAAATAAATCGGTTATTAGAGATGAGTTATTAAAAGTATTATGATTAGAAATGTTGCAGGGGGGCTAATAATTCTGACTTGTGTGTGTTTCTAAAAAACATTGAGATATATACACACACACAATTTTAAATTAGTTTTTTCATTTGTCCATTACTGTGACAAAAAATGACTGATTCAGCAACATTTTCACAATTTATGACAATATTTCATAAGTTGTTTTGCTGTGGAAGTACACAAATTTACTCATCTTACTAATTCATGACTCTTTGACCAGAGAACTATTGATCTCTATAACATTATATATATATATATATATATATATATATATATATATATATATATATATATATATATATATATATATATACATACATACATACATACATACATACACACATACACACATACACACACACACACACACACACACACACACACACACACACACACACACACACACACACACACACACACACACACACACACACACACACACACACACACACACACATACATACATACATACAGTTGAAGTCAGAATTATTAGCCCCCCTGAATTATTAGACCACTTGTTTACTTTTCCCCTAATTTCTCTCTATCGGAGAGATGATTTTTTTTAACACATTTCTAAACATAATAGTTTTAATAACTCATTTCTTTTAACGGGTTTATTTTATCTTTGCCATGATGACAGTAAAAAATATTTGACTAGTTATTTTTCAAGACACTTCTATACAGCTTAAAGTGACATTTAAAGGCTTAGGTTAATAAGATTAACTAGGCAGGTTAGGGTATTTAGGCAAGTTATTGTATAACGATGGTTTGTTCTGTAGATTATCGAGAAAAAATATAGCTTAATGGGGCAAATAATTTTGTCCATAAAATGATGTTAAAAAATTTAAAACTGCTTTTATTCTAGCTGAAATAAAACAAATAAGACTTTCTCCAGAAGAAAAAAAATATTATCAGACATACTGTGAACATTTCTTTGCTCTGTTAAATATAGTTAGAAAATATAAAAAAAGAAGAAAAAAATTCAAAGGGGGCTAACAATTCTGACTTCAACTGTGTATATATATATATATGAAACAAAGAGAAAAAGCTTTTAATTCTTATCCATGTAAAGTCTACTTTATCCATACATATTTGAGACCTAATTCTAAATTATGAAAATATACTTAAAATACAATATATAACTTACAAATACAAACATACGATAAACTAAATTTTGCTCTTTTCTCAATAAAACCCATTTAAATAAATAAATAAGCAAGCTATGACTAGTTAATTTTAAATTTATTCTAGACCATAATATCCTTTTAAAGAAATTTAGAGTGGGAAGTGTTTCAAGACAGAATCTGTTGACAGTTTTTGCTACTTTTGCGCAAAATTCATCAGGGTTTATGTTGAATTTTTTTTAAAGTATATAAACACAAAACTTAACACATTAAATAAAAAATAAAAACATTTTACATTTTATTTGAAGTTTACAATACCAATCCAATAAGAACCACTTGTTTGGTAAACAAAGTCTGTTATGTAATATATCTTCTAAAAAAACTGAAAATTCATAAAACAAAATTGTAAATAAATCATATAAACATGATTGAAATATTATTCAATAAGATTACTGAAATTAATATAAAAAATTAATGAAATAAATATATATTTACATACATTTACATAAGTAAATAAATAGACTAAATGTGCTGATAAATCTGTGTATTTCAGCAGGCCCTGATTCCATGTGGCGTATTTATAATCATTCATTTTTCTTCGGCTTATTTATCAGGGGTCCCCACAGCGGAATGAACCCCCAACTATTCCAGCATAGCTTTTATGCAGCGGATGCCCTAGCAGCAAACCAAAGAAAAGCAAACACGCATACACTCTCGCATTCACACACACTCATACACTACGGCCAATTTTGTATACCCAATTTGCCCATACTGCATGTCTTTGGACTGTTGGGGAAACCGGAGCATCCGGAGAAACTCCACGCCAAGACGGGGAGAACATGCAAACTCCACACAGAAATGCCAACTGAACCAGCAACCTTCTTACTGTGAGGCGTCAGTGCTAACAACTGAGCCCCTTTAGAGTGGGAACCCTGTTGTGTCTGTGTGTTAGCTCAGCTTTACACCATCACTGTACACCATATACCCTGCTCTCTAACCTTCTCTCAATAGTAAATGGGTGGCCGGTTGCCAGGTCTGCTGCCGTATGCTCTCAAACAGTAACTGATGCAATGACCCTCAGCGTCCTCCTTTTTCCTGACCAGGCCTGCCTGTCGTTCTCGATCTGGGATTACCACCTCCTCCGGTTTCCTTCAGGGCAAATTGAACAACCGTCTCCACACTTTCATTTAAACCCGCGAGTGGCCTGAACAATCCTCGCAGAAAGCAGCGGGAGTCAACAAACAGAGCCCGTGTTGTTTTACAGCTGCGATGATGTCATGATATGTCAAATGACTTCCATCTAAACAGGAGGACCCGGCCCTGCGTTTTTACTAATTCAAACTCACTGAAGCACACACACACACATCATGCTCGTAACTGGATCACACACTCCTACGGTTCGCAAATACGTGCCCGCGAGCTGCTCACGGAAACATACTCTCACACCCAGAAAAATGGCTCCAAATGTGGGATGTGCTGGTTTTGATTATAGCTCTCCTCTATTAGACAGAAACATGCTGCACAGTTTATGCGGTAGTTTTGTATTCTTGGTTTAGTTTCAATCGGGAATATCAGGCCTCGGGTTTCAGACTCCCGCTGCTGGGTTTCCTCTTGCTCTTCGGTGAGATGTCAGCTTTTCCACTGAGCTGAACTATTTATTTGACATATTTTAGACACAGGGTGCGCCTCCGTCTGTGGGCACACATTCTTAATCATTACACATGCCACATGTAGCTAACATGAAATCCAAATTGACCTATTTCCTTTCCCGGTCTGAATGTGCGTGATTCATCTGTGCACTCTTTCTTTTTTTTTCTAAAGACTAATCTAAAACCTACTTGTTAAAAGTTACTTGCAAAAACACCCATTTGACACAATCAAATAGATTCATTATAGATGAAATCAGTTCTCCACCTCCATATAATTCAAGTTTATTTGTATGGATTATTGCATTACAGTCAAATTAAGTTATAAGTTACAATCAAAAATAAGATATTATATACACTCACCGGCCACTTTATTAGGTACACTTTACTAGTACAATATTGACATAATGGCATCACTCAGTTGCTGCAGATTTGTCGGCTGCACATCCATGATGCGAATCTCCCATTCCACCTCATCCCAAAGGTGCTCTGTTGGATTTAAAAATGATTTTTGAAAGATTGCTGAGCAATGATGCTGAAAATTCAGCTTTTCGTTATAGACATAGGGCTCTATCTTGACGGTCCATGCGCCATGCGCAGAGCGCAAAGCGCAGTGGCGCAAACGCTTTCAGGGCGTGTCAGAACACGTTTTTGCTAATTTACGGAAGAGAAAATCCGCTTTGCGCCAAGGCGCATGGTGTAAAAGGGTTGAGTTTATTTTCTTAATGAGTTATAGGTGTGTTTTGAGAATAAACCAATTAGAGTCTCATCTCCCATTCCCTTTAAGAGCCAGCTGCGTCGCGCCAAGAGCGCATTCGCTATTTACAGAACGCAAAGTAAGTCTAAGTGGAAAAAATGAGCTTTTCACAAGCAAACAGTTAACAGTGTTTTAACAGAAAACTGTTAAACAGAGCATCTACTGCGTGAGAATGAGAGATAATGGATCACTTTCACTTTCGCTCTTGGATAGGGAAACCTTTACACACAGACATTAATTAGTCTATAAATAATTAATTGCGTTTATTAAGCGCAAATATTCGTTTCAAAACTATTTCTAAATTCAGTTCTAATTTCCAGCAAACGAATAAATCAACAATAATAACGAAGTTTGTTCAAAAACCTGAGTTATATCCTAAAACACATGCTCTGCCCCATATGGTCTAAAACCTGACAGGTGGGCAAATCTAAGTTTGTTTTAAAAAAAACAAATATAAATATGGATATGATAAATAATACTGCTAATAATAATAACATTATACAAAAGCAAATCGTTATGAATGAACTGAAAAAGCCTCCTGAGATGAAGAAGACATAAAAGCAGTGATTTTTCATATTTATGTAGGCTAGAAAATAATATGTTTTGTAATATTTTAATCCTTTATATTTATTTCCTATATCTATTCTTATTATATCCTATATATATCCTTAATATTTAAATTTTTTCATATGTAAAGATATTTGCCTATTGCTCTCTTGTGTGTATTAAGCAGTGCGTAAGCGAGTAAGTGAGTTTAGACCGGGTTAGTTTTGGTCTAATGAAAAATCTATTTTAGTTTCTCAAAATAGCAACGCGCCAGCGGTCCGCCTCAGAACGCCTCCCTTTTTAGACCAGAACACCTATGGACACACAAATGAGCGCAAATGCATTTGCTTTTTAAACAGCGTAGCGCAAAGCCTCAAAACGACTCTTGCGCCAAGCTGAAACTACCAAACAAGTATTGCGCCGCGCCTTGCGCCACATTGCGCCGGGTGTATGATAGGGCCCATAGACTCTTTATTGTACTTTTGAGTAATTAAATGCAGACTTTAATGAGACATTTTTTACAACCTAATCTTTAAAAAATTTTCAAAAAGTAAGCTAATTGCTTGTTTAACCTAATGATAGTGTGTGTACTACTGTTAATTAGTAAATTATTTAGCTGAAAATGTATCTTCTATCATTGCCGTCATTTCTAGGTAAAGGAGCCGATCCCAGCAGGCCTCCGTGTCGGAAAGCTAAAGACATTAGGAAAGAGCGAAGACTTCAAAAAGACCAACAGATGCAGCAAGAAGCTGTGTCGTCTTCTCCAAATCCAACCCCATCAAAATCTTCTTCATCTAATCAGCCCAAATCACTAGAGGAATTCATTACAGAGTCTTTACCCAATGACCCTCTGCACCGTTTAGAGGTAAGACCCTTTGCTTTTATATAATACTTCTTTGAAGGGAAATCGCTGAAAGCAGCCAAAGCAAGAGAGGATTCACCAATCACACTTGCCAATCTCAGGCAATGTCCACACAAACATGGCTATTTTAAAAAATCTATGCTGTTTAGGCATTTTTCCACATAAAAATGCAGTATCAGGTGACTTTCAAGAAACTTTGTCTAGGTCAGTTTTTAAAAACTCTGGTTTCTGATTTCTCTTTTTCGATTGGTCAACATGGTTTTACTCTAATGCTGGATTCACACCATACCTTGTCACTTGCTCTAGTTTAGTCAGGGAATGTATTTAACCTCATACAATGTATCTGCTCAAATTAGATCACTCGAAAGATGTGATTTGAGACTAATTCTTTGCGTTTGCATAGGGGAAGGGCAAAGAGTCAGGGCATAGGGATGAGCCCTTCCAATCTGAACGCAGTTCATGAAACTAAACAACTTCCCTGCTTAAAGGATCATGGCCTGAAGTGTTCATCAGGTGTATAAAATTCCAAAGTTTTGAGCACTTTAGTTTGGACGACACTTCAATATGGCGGCTGTGATGTGTTCAAGTGCCCATCGGAAGGTGATATTTCCCACTTGGAATGCGCCGACGTTGTACTGTATGTATAGCCTACTATACCAAAGACTATACAATACACAAGACATGTCACTCGTAGAGTTTGGAATGGGGAAAATTGTTATGGTCAGTATGGGAATGAAGCCCCGCCTACTAGTACAGGAGCCAATCATCAATCGATAAAGACTGACAATTCTTCGGGGGAGGGTCTCGGACCAGACATGAGTTTCTGCAGATTTTGTGTGATTCAAACATTTAGAAATGAAACTAAAGAGAGCGCTGCTGTTGTATTTTATTGATGATTCCTAATATGACTTTGAATTGTAAGTTTCGCGAGGAATTTTGATGAATTTGATGTATCCCCATTCAAACAGAATGCCCGAGCATACCGTCCGTGAGGTGTTTCAAAGATGGCCGCAGAGTTAAATGACTTGTCTTAAAGGGACTTTGACAATACTTATAGTTTTAGACAAGCAAAAAATATAGTTTTGTTTCAGAAATAGGTCAAAATTAAGTGAGTTTTTTTTTTTTTTTTTTTTTTTTTTAAGAACAACTAAAATAGTCAACACAAGGTTATTGTGAATACATACTCTGGTCTACATTTCTGGAAAACCACAAAAATGGGGCTACATCTGACTGCATTTTGTGTGAGAAATGAATGCTACGGGGGCAGTATGACGCTGCCGACAGCTTCTGTTCCTATTTGCGCTACCGCTGACCGATTACTTCCATACCAATGGCTTTTCCAGTGTTACCAGTTTGCCCAGTAGCTCTCTGCGATGTCGTGTGGAGCAGAGTGGACCACGACAACAGGGTTTGAGTCCGGTGAAGAACGGTTCCAGAAACCTGGTAAAACAAAATCAAATAAATAAATAAATAAATAAATAATTAGCTAAAAGCGTGGTAAATTAAAAAAAAAATTAAAATAAAACAGTGCGTGAAACCAAACAACTGCCCTCCTCAAAGGATCATGGCCTGAAGTGTCCATCAGCTATAGCATACAAATTTGTAATTCTAAAGGACCCTTTGAAGTGACCAGTTTTGAGCACTACAGTTTATTATGAACGACACTTCATTATGGTGACCATGATTGTTTTAATTTTTCACTGCTCATCTGAGGGCAATATATCCCGTTTGGAATGCACCAAAAAATAATCAAATAAATAAATAAATAAATAAATGAATAGTTAATCGGCTGAAAATGTGGTAAAATCTGTAAACGGGGTGAAGTCGTGCAGCCATTGCTTTTTGTGACGCATTGCTTTTTAATCGGTTGGGTTCAGGGAAGGGGGCATGGGTCAGTCGGTTAGTCAGTTAGAGCAATCTGAGGAGGACACGCAAATGGCATACGTGAGAGAATTTTAAGACCATCAAAAAGTGTACACAGTGGCCTCCTTGCAGTTTTTGCTTTCGCAAATCCACCGGAGACGTAGCCCTGGGTATGTATTTCGCTGTCCCCAGAAATGTAGACCCCCGTACGTATCCACAATGAGCCTGGGTTGAAAATAATCTGGTTTTCTCTTTGAGTTAAATTTATTGTGCTTACAGCATTGGCAGATTATTTGGCTTGTTTTAATGGAAAACTCACCTAATTATTCATGCTATTACTGAATGAGCTATTCCGAGTGGCACAGGGCGCAGTGGTTAGTACTGTGCCCTCACAACAAGAAGGTCGCTGGTTCGAGTCCCAGCTGAGTCAGTTGGCATTTTTGTATGGAGTTTGCTTGTTCTCCTGTGTTGTCGTGGGTTTCCTCCGGGTGCTCTGGTTTCCCCCACAAGTCCAAACACATGCACTAGGTGAATTGGGTAAGCTAAATTGTCAACTTTGATAGAAACGGCTCTGGGAGTAAGTAAGTATTACTTAACTCCATTCTTGGTGTGAACCCAGCATAAGGCTTTTATTATCGGCCATTGATTGGTCATGCTCTTGACCCTGCATAACAGTGTGTTTTTACATTTTTATACAGAGGAAGATTTATTTATTTATTAACAAAGGCAAGTTGAACTCTTTAAAAGTACCGCATGTGAACCTCAAAGTTACAACTATTAAGCTTGGAGTTTCATCATGGGTAAATATACCAGGCCTTTCTCATCACAAGTGTCCTCTCCTGCTTTTGCTGCGATTGCTTGGGTGAAGTCAGCATGAGTAAACAGCCAGTGTTTCTGCTATCTAAGCAACTCCGTATAAAAGGCTATCTTATGCCACCAAACGTCATCATCCCTGGAGACGCCACCAGGCAGATTCATTCCTCAATTAGCTTGTGGACCGGATTGATTTGATTGACTTCAATATGTCATTCAATTATCTTAAGTGGATCGCAGTCAATGTCACTGTCATCTGAACAAGGTTAGGGGTTCACTTCAGAAACAAAACATGAGGAAAAGCGCCACGTTTGCAGACTTCAAGACCAAAAAACTCTTTATTTCATCATGAACGCTCTCAAGAAAACAAACAACTTGTGCATCTGTTTAATCCTCCAGTGTGATTTGCGTGACAGACCCTTGTGTTGAAATATAAACACTGTAGTTAAATGCTCAGTCCTTGAAGTCTGTTTGTTAGCACTTATCTCTATAGTGTGTAATGAAAACAGATGCGTTTAAAAACAGTATCACACATTTCCTCTCCAAACTTCACTTTATCACTTCTGTAATGGGGGTGTTAAGGCTGATTTCTGTAAATCTCCTTTTTGTGGGGTCATTAAGCCTTCGGAGATGAACCTCAAGGACACACTGGCTAATGAGATGTTTACCTAGAGCCAATCAGACATGCGTGGAGTTTGATTTATCACAAGCCAATGTGCTTTAAGTGAAGGTCTCGCTGTTTGGCAAGGAAAAGATTAGTTTAAAATGCATTGCATTTTATTTCTAGCCTTAACTGTAGCCTTTTTTTACCATATTAGACTGAAGGCATAAAAAATGAGCATTTGCTGGCATCCAAGATAAAGGTGTCTATTTATCCTTTAGAATAACTTCAAAGAACATATTTTTGGTTGAAACCATGATGATGATGATGATGATGATGATGATGATTTAGAAAATGCAAGTCAGTGGCTGTTTCTCAATTCCAAGAACGCAGAGAACGGACTTGCGTTCTTGTGGAGACCGGTCTTGCCAGGCGTCCTCGGAAGAACGAACTCAGGAGACCGCGAGGGCAGAGAACGCGTCCTTTGAGAAATGAAATGCTGCGTTCTTCCTGATGGTCACGTGACCTTCACGCATTTTAAATGGAGATTTATTTAAACATTACAGCACTCATTCAACGATTTATTGTTTTTCCCCTCTTTAAAATATATACTTTGCATTAAAGCATTATAAATATACCCTGCACAATATAAATTACAAATTTTAATACTAATTTCAGCAAACAAACAACCCTTAATGTGTTTATTCCTTTATTAAGATATTCATGTTAATGTTTACTTTCACCGTTTCATTTAGGGAAACTCCTGAGGTAAATAAGTGATATCTCTGAACTTTAATAATAAATCTAAACAAAATGCTGCGCTTCCCACCTCCAGTCGCAATGACTTCTGCGACTTCCAGAGTGAGTTCGGTGCTCAAGTCTGCATCAGTGCGTCCTCGATATCAAGAACACATCCGGAAAGTTTCACACGTCCTCCGTACTTGCGGTCTTGATTATTGGAAGTGAACTTAGGCAGCTGAGGATGACGTTGCACGAGAACACGAGGATGCAAGACCGCTGAAGAACGCATATTGAGAAACAGCCCCTATTTACCTGGACTTTGGGAGTCAAAAATATCAGAGAAACTAAATTGAGTGGCTTTTGAAGATACATTCAGATCTCAAGAAGTAAAATATTTGATTCTGAATATTCTGAATATTATTTACAGCATTATCGTTTTTTATCCCCAGCCTTTGCAAACATTTCTGTAGGTACAGTACACTGTAAAAAGTACAATGGTGGAAAGAGTACTAAAAAGTGATACTTGAGTAAAAGTACCATTACTTGCCTAAAAATGTAGTGCAAGTAGAGTAAAAGTATCTGTTACTCAAAGTATGAGTAAAAAGTAGCCCTTTCACAAGTACTCAAGAGTAGTAATCAAGAGTAGTGAGTATTACGCTGTAAAAAGCTGATGCATTTACATTTAAGTTGTGGATGTGTGTAAACGTAACATTCTGTAGTGCTTTTAGTTATTGCCCAGCAGGCACAGAATGTCATAAGACGTTAATATTATTGGTTAGATTTAGGTTGTAATGTCAGGTGACTAAAATTCAGTGTCTAGCCAGCGTCTAAGGATAACATTATTTTGATGTCCAATAACGACGTTAAATGACGTTGACATTTGGGTGATTTTAGGTTGTTAGAAAGTGACCAAAATCTAACGTTAAGCCAACATCTTAAACCAACGTCATATTGACGTCAAATACTGACATTTATTCATCAGATA